TATATTTGTTGTCTGAAAAGCCTGTATTAAGTAGTAGTCCCAAGACATATGTTATTATGTTTCTTTAATAATATATTTCTCAGTAGTTATTCATTCTCAAAATAGGTATCTTAGTAATTTGATGGGGCTCAAATTCTGAAAGAACCAAAATTATTTATCTTGAGTTTTTAGTGTGTAGAAAAAAAAGTAAAGAGCCCAGTTCGGTTTTAAAGTGAAAACAGTGGTTTTTATACATTGCTTTAACTATTTTCTCTAATGTTCTATTTAATTTTTAAAATAATTTTAATTTTGAATAGATAATATATCCACATGGTTCAAAAATCAAAATAATATAAATACACATTGAGAAGGTTTGCTCTTACACTTGACCACCCTATTTCCCTTCTACCCACATCCCCTATGGGCAGCTATGTTTATTAGTTTTTTGTTTATCTTTTCAAAGTTTCTTTGTGTAAATGTAAGCAAATATGAATTCATATTCTTTCCTCTTCCTTACTCAGAAAATAGCAAATCGTGTACATTATTCCACGTCTTGATTTTTTTTTACTACTTTTCTAATATACCCTTGAGATCTTTCCATATCAGCATGTAGCATTTCCTCTTTATTTATGTTTTCAGAGCATAGTGTCCCAGTGTGTGGATGGAATCCTTTATTGATGGATACTGGGAATATTTCCAGTGTTTTTGTTATTATATACAGCACTGCAAACACGTAAATACACACACATTCACACACACGCACATATGTATTTTTACTCTACCCTCCTAGGTTCTCCAGCTGGGGCTTGTCTAGACGAAGGACAGATTAACAGGGAGAATAACAAAACAAGTTTATTGCCTTGCGTTTACATGCAGGAGCACTCAGTAATGAGTAACTTAAGGTGGTAGTAGAATATGGGCTTATATAGCATCTTAATAAAAGAACAATAAATAGAGAAGTAACAAGACGAAAAGGACTTTGAGTTTCTGGGGTGGCAAATTTTGGGAAGGTAAATATGTGGGGGAACTTAGATAAGGGCTAGTTAGTAAAGTTTGTTATGTAGCTTCTGCTGGTGCTGTCTCTGAGCTGATAAGTCTAGAGTTGCCTCCAGTGATTAACTCTTGTCCTTCCTCGTAGAGAGGGAAGGTGAGACACTTCAACAAATTTATGTCCTGCCTTTAGGCACATAGGAGAGCAGAGAGCTTTTCTTCTTAGTGGCCTTCAGCTCAAAGCAGTCCTTATGCCAAAGTGGCATGTTTTGGGTTGGCATATTCTGCTGCCCTTTAGTACTTAGATGTATCTGCAGGGTATGGAATTGCTGGATCCAAAAGGTAATTGCATATGTTTTGTTAGGGTTTGCCACATTCTTTTGCATAAAGGTGGTTCTGTTTTGTACTTCCACTATCAATATACAAAAGTGCCTTTTCCCCCAACAGATTGTTATCAAACATATGGATTTTTATGAGATGAAAAATGTTATCTTGGTGTGTATTTATAAATACACTTTTTCAAATTAATAAACTTTCTAAGAACAGTTTAAAGTTCACAGCAAAGTTGAGCAGAAAGTAGAGTTCCCATACACTCTATACTACACGTATACAACCTCCCCCACTATCTGCAGCCTGTACCACAGTGGTACATTTATTACCATTAGTGAACCTGTACTGACACATCATTGTCATCCAGAGTCCATAGTTTACATTAGCATTCACTCTGTATTGTATATTCAGTGGGTTTTGATGACTGCATAATGATACTTAGTATTGTACAGAATAGTAATAGTATCATACAGAATAGTTTCACTACCCTAAAAATCCCCTCTGCTCTGCCTGTTCACCCCTCCCTCCCTCTAACCCCAAGCAACCACTAATCTTTTTACTGCCTCCAAAGTTTTGCCTTTTCCAGAATGTCAAATGGTTGGATCATACATTTTGTAGCCTTTTCAGATTGGCTTCTTTCACTTAGTAATACACATTTTAGTTTCCTCCATGTGTTTTTGTGGCTGGAGAGCTCATTTCTTTTTAGCGCTGAATAATATTCCACTGTCTGGATATACCACAGTTTATCCATTCACTTACTGAAGGACATTTTGATTGCTTCCAAGTTTTGGCAATTATGAATAAAGATGCTATAAACATCTGTGTGCACGTTTTTCTGTGGACATAAGTTTTCAACTCCTTTGAGTAAATACGAAAGAGCACAATTCCTGGATCTTTTAATGGTATGGTTGGTTTTGTAAGAAACTACCAAACTGTCTTCCAAAGTGTCTGTATCATTTTGCATGCCCATTAGCAACGAATGAGAGTTATTGTTGCTCTGTATTCTTACCAGTGTTTGGTATTGTCAGTTTTTTGGGTTTTGGCTATTTTTTTTTTTTTTTTTTTGTTTTTTTACTTTTTTTTTTAAAAAAATATGGAACGCTTCACGAATTTGCATGTCATCCTTGCACAGGGGCCATGCTAATCTACTCTGTATCGTTCCAATTTTAGTATATGTGCTGCCGAAGCGAGCCATTTTAATAGGTTTATAGTGGTATCTCATTTAAATTTGCAGTTCCCTGTTGATATATGATGTACAGCATGCCTTCATATGGTTATTTGCCATCTTTATGTCTTGGTGTGGTGTCGGCTCACGTCTTTTGCACTGTTTTTTAATTGGGTTTATTTTCTTACTGTTGAGTTTTAAGAGGGTGGTTTTTTTTTTTGTTTTTTTTTTGTTTTGGATAACAGTCCTTTATTAGATATGTCTTTTGCACATATTTTCTCCCAGTCAGTGCCTTGTCTTCTCATTCCTTTGATAAACTTCTATAATTAAGTATGCAAAATAAGTGTATGGCTTTATGAATTTTCTAAGTGAACGTATTATTGGCTTCTCAGTGTAGTTTGAATTTTCATTTCTCTCATCAGTGAAGTTGAACATCTTTTCATAGGATTAAGGGCCATTTCTGTTTCTTCTTTGTGTGAACTATCAATTCACATCTTTTGCCATTTTTCATTGAATTACTGCTCTCCCCCACCCCCGCCCCAGTTAGTCTTTAAATATTAGGGAGGTTATTTCTTTATTTGACATGAATAACATTTTTCCTGTTTTTTTTAAAATCAGTCTTTTTACTTTGCTTTTAGTTTATTCTGCTGTATTTGAAGAAATGATTTGAATTTTCTCTCATGGGTACAGGGAATCTCTTCCTCTTTCCTTACTTACACAGCTTAGTGTCACTGTCTTCCAGAATTCTTCTTACTACCTTTCAGGGCTTTAAAAAGTATCTGATGTTGCCCTGGTACCTTTTGTATGTCTTTACCTTTGCGTTTAATAACAATCCTTATCTTGCTTGTTTTTCTATAGACTGTAAACTCCTTGAGGACTAGAACTCTGTTTTATTTACCTTTGTGTGTCTAGTGCTTGGAGCACACATGGTATACAATAAATATTAGTGTTTGGTATGCATGATTGTTTCTTTGTTGCTTGGATTTTTGGTGCCTTTGATTTTACAGCCATTGCTATCTAATTTAAGTACTCTTCATATATTATTGTTGAACCAGCCAGTCTTATTCATCCTTCTTGTCATCCTTTCATTTCTGCTCTTTCCTACATTTCCTTTGAGGATAGTTTTGGAGAGATATCGACTCATTTCAGGTGCCTCTGTGAAAGATTAACAGATCTTTTGTGCATTTTACTTCTTCATAATTAAGATTTATGGGATGATTTGATGTAAATAAATGATGCCATACTTTTAAGTCCTTTTTCTTTTTTTTTTCGTGGGGGGAGGCAATGTGTTATATATGTTTTGTTTTTATATGTTTCTACAATATAATTTTATAAGAACATATATACAAAATATACACAAAAAGTGGGAGATTAGTATAGTGAACGTCCATGTACTATTCATCAACTTTACAAGTTATTAACTTGTAGTATTTTAAGGTAAGTACTTAAAATAACATATCCTTAGAGTTATACAGATTCCTGAAGGCTGTCTAAGGGCTGACCTCCCACCCCAAAATGCAGAATAAGTAACCCAGATACAATTTGAATTTCTCTGTACATAGGGATTCAAACTTCTTTCATGTAATCTGCTTTATTATTGAACAGCTGCATTTGTACATTGATCTAAAATGTGCTTCTGAAGAAATCCTGATTTCAGTTTTAACAGCTCTGCAACAAGAGACTTTCAGTTAATGAAGACATAGCTTTCTTATTAGGCTAAAGAAGGTTAATTTTTTTAAAAAAAGTTTAATTTTAAATGAAGTCTTAAAAAAAACTTGTAGTGTACTAGTAAAAAAAACTGATAGACAATGCACATCTTAAAGAGACTAAGGAAGCAATTTCACTTTCTTTACTGATTTGTCAGTGGCTACTGACAGTCTTATGAAGGGCCAATATTTTAAATTAATTTCTGGTTAAAAGCTTGGACATGTTTTAATCACATGTGGAATTTTTATGTCTTTGATGTTAAAAGTAGCAGCCCATAAACTGATATCTATTTGTTATGGTCACATTGCCTTTCAGTTCTCTCCTCAGTGTATCTAGTAGATGCTTTATTTATGAGATCTGTAAAGAATTTGTTTCCTGTCAGAAATTGCTAATTCAGATTATTTCCTTAATTTCGGGATCACTCCATAGTAGTATCCATTTGGTAATGTATATGTCAGTTACGATTTTATTGTTAAAAAACAGCCGAGTTATTTAAATGGTTCCCTTTCAGCTGGACTCCTTTCTTTTTTTGGTAATGGCTTTGAATGAAGAGAACTTTTCGGAGAGAATCTTTATAAACCCTTAATTTCTTTACCCAAATGTTAAAGTCACTTAGTATTCTGAGTTGATTATGCCCTATGACATATCTCTGTATTTACCACAGCGAGAATTTTGTATGGAACATATTTGTTTTTGAGAATAACTGAAGTTATACTTAGTCTGTATTTCAGCATTTCCTTAACTTTTTTGTACAAGATGAAGACTATTGTTTTATTCTTGTTGGGAGTTTAAAACTAGAATGTAATGTCTCTCTTCTTGATTTCTGTAGAGCAGGTTGTTGCGCTGGATGCTCAAAATATCGTTGCTGTTTCATGTGGAGAAGCTCATACATTAGCACTAAACGACAAGGGCCAGGTGTATGCTTGGGGTCTCGATTCTGATGGACAACTTGGCCTGCTAGGATCAGAGGAATGTATCAGAGTACCCAGGTAACAAAGGTGACCGACAAGAGGTCTTTAACAATCTTTTATAATAAATTTGCTATCTAAGTTATTCTGCTTACTACTGGGCATTTAAGAGTTGACACCGAATTACTTCGACCCTTTGAGTTCTTAAGGCATTTACTAGGTAGGTTCTTGCCTTTAATTTGGATTGAGTGCTGTTTTTTATATACTCCATATTTCCCCAAATTATTTATGTTTGTAAAGAAAAGGGGTAGGGAATGCATACTTTATTATAAATTTTCTCTCACTAAAAATTTTAAGTGGGTTAAGACTAATTTAAACCATTAATTATACTATCTTGAGTACCTCAGCCATTGAAATATTTATTATATATTGGTTGTTTGCATGTTTCTTTCTCTTGTTTTTTTAGTCTTTATTGTTTTTATTGAATGTAGAAGTCCCACATGCTTAAAGTGTAGAAAGAATAAGTCACTTTCTACGTTTTTACATAGCAGTGACCACAATTTAATTTATGCTAACCACTAATTCATCATAGAATTATTTCAAAATTTAAAAATAAACAATGCTTCATCAATGTTGTAGTCTTACAGGTTTATATAGGACATAACCATTGCTGTAATATTAAAAACTGTAAGCATGAACATAAAGATTTAAAGAAGAGTATCCAGTTCTTTTAGACATATAATTAATACACTAACTCATGCTTAGTGTTTAAAATTATACAAATTCTTGCCTCCTTAAACTCTTGTTTTTTGTTTTCTTTTTTTCCCCTAGTAATAGTTATAGGGACAAAAGAGAACTCTCCAGGGAGCCAAGGTATTACACTAATTTTAGATATATTTCAGGTAGCATTTTTTGTAATATACACATATAGATATTTTGTTTTTAATTTAACATTGATAATGTTTGTTTTGGTTTAAGAGGTAGATGTAACTACTAGGATAAGAAAATGGAGCACAGGAACTAATATATTTCAGAACAGGAGGGAATTCCCTGGTGGTCCAGTGGTTAAGACTCCACGCTTTCACTGCTGCGGGCTTGGGTTCACTCCCTGGTCGGGTAACTAAGATCCCACAAGCTGTGCAGTGCAAAAAAAAAACAAAACAAAAAACAAAAAAACAGAACAGGAGCTGTTATCGTTAGAAATGAGTTTTTTAAATAAAAGCCCATAACCTTCCTTCATATATATATGTATGTCTATTTTAAAACTTAAAGTATACATTTGAAGTATTTGTTTTAGCATAGTAAAAGTTTTTTTCATCTTTAGTTTGACATTTTATGTTTGTTCTAGTAATGAACTGTCTGTTGAGACTTCTGGATACACACATTAACATGTTTTGTTTATCGAACTTGTAACCAAATTGCACAAAACTCCCCAAACAAATTTCTTCCCCTTTGTTTCTTCTGCAGTAGCAATTAAATAACACACTTCCCATTATGCTTTTAGTGCCTTTTAATGATGGTGCTGTTGGGAGAGAAATTTTTTTCTTTAAGCTAAGTAAATTGAATTTTTTTAGTCATTTCAGTTTTGATTTCTTTCAGAAAATGTTAATTTGCAGCCAAATGGCTGTTGGCTACAAAATACAAAGCATTCATAGGAACAGAGTGATCTCACATTTGTCATATTGTCTACTGATTTTATTTCCTTCCACAAGTAATTGTTGTAGAATGGGATTTTTTATTTAAGGTTTTTAAGAACTTTGTGTTTTTAGGATTGAAGAGAGACATGTTAGATTTTCTAAGTCAGTATTTTCAAAACCATGATTCACAGCAAGGCTGTCTAGTTTCTCTTATTTTTACTCCACTTAATTCTCATACTTTTTTGTTTTTTGTTTTTTTTTGCTGTTCAGTTCTGATATGAGAGATTTCAGTCAGTAATCCATAGATGATTAGTAAATGGAGAGAAAGGTAATTATAAGGAGAAGAGTTTATTATATAACGATTTATTTGAAGGTTGCCCAATAATTCTGTATCTGTGACTTTACTCTTTATGAACCTGGATGGGGACCTGTAAGATCTTGAGTCCTTTGGTTTAAACTTCTCCGTTTGTGTATTTGCTGAACATCTATATTAATTTTCAGCTGTGTATTAAGGCATCTTTCCTGTTCAGTCTTTTCAGTTTTTCATGGACTAATCTGATTTGTTGTGACGTATATATATAATTTTTACTGATACTTTCATGTCTTAAAGGGAAATTTAGTATTTCAGTAGAAATATATTTTTATGAAAGACCACCATTGATTTTTTTTTTTTTCTTTTTAAATCTCAGCACCAAATCATTTTTTAGATGCAAGGCTTTTTCTAGGTGCTTAGAGATGTCAGCCAGCTTTGTAACTTTCACATACACTTTGAATAAAATGTGTAGAATATAGGAGGAAACTCAGACATATGTGAATAGATTTTTTAAAATTAGTGTTTATAATTTTCATAAGAATGATCAGAAAAGTGAATATTCACATTAGGCTGTATTTTCTTGAGAACAAAACCCATTTTTATGTTAATAGATGAGAGTAAGTAAATTAAGCAACACTTTAATTTTAAAGATGAATGTAAAATTAATAATAAATAGATTATATTTGAAACTCTTACTCTTTGGTAATCTTTTCCTACTTCTGATTTTGTTTTGTTTTGAAATCATTATTTCTTGGGGAAAGACAAATTATTCAATATCAGTGGTCTCTGTGGACCTGCATTTCGGGCTAGTCATTTCTTTTTATATGTAGGATATATGTTACACCTTTATTTTAAAAAAAGTTAATCTGATTTTACTGTCTTTTAATGTAAATAGAAAAACAATTGTTGGCAATGAGGTTGTAGTTTATTTTTTAAAGTTCTGTTTTTTTCGACTTTGTAAGAAAAAATTATGACAGGATGGTATAATATGATGATTCTTGTGAGAACAGCAATTTCTGGGCTACAGGAACTAATTAAACATGTTTGAATTGTCGCCTTGGTCAAAAATAAAATTTATTTTCTTGATTGAACTTTTAAAAGTATATTACAGGGAATTCCCTGACAGTCCAGTGGTTAGGAGTTGGTGCTTTCACTACCATGGCCCGGGTTTGATCCTGGTCGGGGAACTAAGATCCTGCAAGCTATGTGGCACTGCTCGCCCCCCCCCCGCCGCCAAAAAAAAGAAGTTTATTACAATTTCTGCCTAATATTAGCCTCTGAAAGTACAGAACATTTCAGATTAAAAAGAAAATTAAAAAAAAATTAGAAGAGTTTTTAATGGTAGAGACTAGATCAGTTGTTAGCCTAAATTTTTCAAAATTAAAGAGTTGGTGCTAAGACTTCTCTCAAATCAGTAAGAAAGTTGTGGCTTAATTGAAAAATAGAAAATTGTTGATTATGTTTTACTGGCAAAATATATTTTTAAAACCACTTTATTGAGGTATGATTGGCATACAAAAAGCTGTACTTAATGTATACACCTTGATGAGTTTGGAATTGGCAAAATATTTAATGCTTTAGCTCTTCAACTTCTTGATTATATATAATATAAACTTTTCACTAGTCCTTGTTAACAGTTGTTAAAGAATTTTACCTTAACATACAATTGGAAATGCTTGGTTTTTGCCTATATTGCCACTGTACATTAAGTTTGAAAAATGTAACAACACAACAGTACACATATTCAACAGTATATGTTTTGACTTCAAGACTTCCTAAGGGAGAGGTGTATAAATCTTATTTCCAAGTTTATTAACGTTTTCTTACAAATTTCAAACGTTTCAAAATTCAGTAAAGAAATTATTCTTTTCTTTTTTTTTTTTTTTCTGGTGAAGGAAAGTGTAGCATTTATTGCAAGGTGACAAGCAAGGAGAATGGGCAGCTGATGCTCAAAAGACCCAAACTTCCTAATGGTTTTTAGGGATGGGTTTTTAAAGACAAAGTGAGGATGAGGGTCATGGGGAATGTGATCATTTCATGCAATCTTCTGATTGGTGTGTGGCGAGGTAACCAGGTGAGGTCACAGAGATTGATCACGTTATCAGTCTTCAGGCTCCAGCCAATCTGGGGGCTACGTGCTCATGGTCATCATTCTCTGTCTGGTTGGGGTCTGGTTTCTGTAAAACAGCTTCTTCCAAGGAGCTGAAATCACTTGATTCCACACATTCAAAGGCAAATGGCAAATACACCAGGCCATTTCTACATCCAAGAAGTCATGGCAGTAATTTGCAGAAAAGTCATCGAGATCATTGCAAGTTTTGATTGAGCCCATTATGTTGCTAACACTGTTCAAGCCTATTTCCTGACAGAAGAGGCCACATCACATCATACAGACCACATGAGGAGCAGCAAGTGTGGTCAGAACAGGAGGGCGAAATTATTCTTTTCTTTACAATGAATAATTTTAAATGTCATAGCCATTTAAAAATGTTTGACAAGAACTCTAAACTTTAGGGAGTTATTTTAAATTTATAAGCAGTTATAAAATGTTTCCCCTGGACATCTGAATTCTGATTTTCTTTTCATAGTTCTGATTAATTGGGAATCTTCATGTATGTGTGTATATATATTTTTTATTTACAAAATTTATTCTGGCTTATTTTACTTTCCTGTTAACTGCATTTGAATCCTTTTAAAAATTGAAAACCAGAAAACATTTACATTATCTTTTTTACTCATTAGGGATTATTTTTGATGAATTCTATAAAATTTTGTTGCATTAAGAATTTTCTAATTTGTCTCTTTAGGAAAAATGGAATGTTGTAAAGTTGTTATACTATTCACAAGTATTTTTGTTTCTTATTAAAATTCCTGAAAGCTTAAAACAAAACAAAACAAGAAAGCATATCCTCTCCTCTTCCCCACCCCCCCACAATCTTCAGTGTATTCAATCTCCATAGAGATAAAAACAGAGGTTTTTTTCCTTTAAAACAGTAATGCCACAGAAGAATATCTTAATTTGTCTCTGTAGCAGACATGGCTAAAGAAATTAGCGTTTATGTTATATTCTAAGCCGTATGATAATATTTTGGTAATGAGAATCACTTTCTGTAAATTGCTGTGTAAATTTAGAAGTCTTTTGGAAGCAAATTTTATGAATAGTTTAATACTAAAGCCTCAAAGAAGTTGCAGATTTACTTATCCTCTAACAGTGGATACTTCACATACTTTTTTTTTTCCCAATATTTTTTGCCAGGCACTATGGTAGGTCTAGGGATTCCATGGGTATAAGATAATAATAGTCCATCCTCACAGAGCTTATTGTTTAGCAGAGTATACTAATAGTAATAATTAAATGAATAAGTACACCAGTAATTAGTAGAGATAAATGCTGTGAAGGAAAAAAACATAGGGTGCTATGAGAATGTAGAATTTTAAAAGATTTTACTTAGTCATGCAAATTGGACTTGATATTTGGAGCAATTGGTTTTTAAAAATATTTAATACAGTTCACTAGTCAGTGTATGATATGCCTAATATGCATAAGCAGTAACAGTAAATGTTTAGTAACTTCAGCACAGTTGTATGTATCCGTGTATTTTTTATTCCTGTTTTTGCATAGCCAGTGTTTGATTTTGCTAACTGCAAAAAAAAAAAAAAAAAGACCTTTTGCTATATTTGAAAATCTGAAGGTACATTGGACCCTGTTAACTTGTTGGATTCTGCTAAATGTAGCAGTACAACTCTCAAGCTTTGTAGGACATAAACCCACTAAATAAAATTATTTTTAATACAACAATATGGAATTAGAGTAACTCTCTTTTTTCCCACTCAAAATTTGGTTTGCTGAAGCTGCCTCCCGAAAATCATGGGTATTGACACTCTGGTCAGAACTTGCTCTGGACTCATATGGCAGAATTAGGTCAGGTGGCAGTATCAGGTAAAGGGAAATAAGAAACATAACATATTTCCACACCCCCTTTTTTCTTAAAAACATTCATTCAGGAAAAACAGAATGAGCAAGTGAAGGGGAGCTACATAAAGAAAACCTGGGATGGTTGATGCACATAGTTTCTTGATTTTTGTAATGTTTTAAATCCTTTAGAATTACATTGCAGTTAAGGAAAAATCAGAAATCGGGGGAAAAAAGAAACTATAAAAAATATAAGTAAGAAACATGAGATGGCAGAAATATGACTGAACACATCACTGATCATAATACATATGAATTGATTAAATTTCTCTAGTAAAGAATTAAATTTAATATCACTGATTTAGATGCAAAGCAAAAGGATAGTCCAAAAGGAATAGGTTTCATGATTTGTGAATTGGTAGCACCACATGATAGGAATCCTTGTTGGTTCTTAAGGAACCTGACAGAGGAGAACATATAATAAACTAGGCCAAACACCAATTTTCGACAAATTGGATCATGTACATTTGTTTTACAAATATATTGCCAAGTTTCATACTTTAAGTTAAAGATTTTTCACATTTTGATGGTAATATCTGCATCATAAAAGCACTGAGGGGCTTCCCTGGTGGCACAGTGGTTAAGAATCCACCTGCCAATGCAGGGGACATGGATTTGAGCCCTGGTCTGGGAAGATCCCACATGCCGCAGAACAAATAAGCCCATGCACTACAACTACTGAGCCTGCGCTCTAGAGCCCATGAGCCATAACTACTGAGCCCACATGCCACAACTACTGAAGTCTGCGTGCCTAAAGCCCATGCTCCGCAACAATAGAAGCCACCACAACGAGAAGCCCGCACACTGCAACGAAGAAAGGCCGCTGCTCGCCGCAACTAGAGAAAGCCCACATGTAGCAGCGAAGACCCAGTGCAGCCAAGAATAAAAATAAATTGATAAATAAATAAATTAATTAATTAAAAAAATAAAAGCACTGAGCTGTGAGCATAGTTTACTGTGCTTAAATATTGTCCTTTCAAAGTGTTTTCTCATCATATCTCTTAATTTTTTCATATTTAGATTTTGTTTACTGATTTTAGCATAAATTTTTGGTAAATTGGGCCTCTATGAGAAAAAATATCATGAACTGCTAGGTCATGCTAGTAAGGAACTGCTGGTAAGGAGACTACTTGCACATAGTAGGTGGTCAATAAATCGCATAAATAAATAGCATTCAGGATCCATTTGTTAAATGGAATTAACTGATCCTGATCTCTCTACTTACTTTCTAGAAATATTAAAAGTTTGTCGGATATCCAGATAGTACAGGTTGCTTGTGGCTACTATCATTCACTTGCACTTTCTAAAGGTAAGCATTGCTTTTATTTTCTTTCCCCTTTTCAGTTTTATTACTTGATACTTTGAGTTGAAATTCCTCCAACTTAGTTCTTATTAAAGATTGTCTTGGTTCTTCTTGATCCTTTTCATATCTATATACATTTTAGAATTAGCTAGTCAGTTTTCACAGATACTTAAAGTGTTGGAATTTTGATTGGGATTGCATTACCTCTAAATCAGTTTGAGGAGAACCTTTATAATATTGAGTCTTTCAATTCTTGAGCATGCTATATCCCTCCATTTATTTTAATCTCTTTTTAAAATTTTTCTCAAGAGTATTTTGTCATTTTCTGTGGAGAGGTCTTATATACGTTTTATTAGATTTTTCCCTAGATATTTGATATTTTTTGTTACTCTGGTGTCATTTTCAAATCGTTTATTACTAGCATATAGACATGAAATTGATTTTTTGTGTCTAATTGTTCTTTAGCCTGCCGAACATTATTCCTTTATAGCTGGGGAAGTTTATAACTTGCCCAAGTTCATTTGCGCTTACAGGTAAACTTTTTATGAATAGAAACAGAGAAGTCTAAGCATCCTGTAACCTTTATTTGACTTCTTCCTATGCCAGCTAAGGATTGTAACATGGGTTAGTAAAGAACCTGCCATATATTTATTTTTTATTATTTAAAAAAATAAGTTCCAGTGGCTTCATTATTATTATTTTTAATTTATTAAATGCCTAGTAAGGCCTACTATGAATGAAACAGTAGACTAGAACTATAGGGAAATACGGATAAGTTAAGACAAAGTTTTAGGGATCGTACCATCTAGTAGAAGAGGCAGATATACAAATAATATAATTGAGGCAGAAAAAATATATACTACTTTTGGTCAAAGGAAAAGTAAAATATGATGGGCATAAGGAAAAAAGTTTAATTAGTTTCAATCAATAGAATTGGTAATAATAAAGAAGGGATTGATATTTGATGCAAGTCTTGAAAGATGATTACAATTTCTTCAGAATTGGAGAGGTTGTGAAGCAGCTAGGGAAAATGTTGAGGATTGGCTAAGGTAATAGTACTAGTAAAGGCATAGAATCTGGGAAATATTTTGTGTATTTGAGTATCGGAATATAGTTTTACGTGGGTATTTTGAGAGCATGGGAGACATTTTCATACATCAGTTGAGACTAAAGTAAAAACAAATCTGTTACAAAGGGCCTTACATGCCATATTAAGGAATTTGGATTTATTCCATCAAAGGAATAAAGTAGGGGGTGGAGGCTGGCATCCCTGTATTCTTTGTTGTTACTTTGCCAACTCCTCTTTTGATACTTTGGTAGGTAAACCCAAGATAAATTTAAACCCAAAGGTTTTACCGATGAGGACAGTTTTTCTATCTTGATGTATCTTACAGGTATTCTTTTCCCTTATTCAGGTTCATGTTTTAGTAGTATCTTACGCATCTAATGGAAAAAAAATTTTTTTTTTTTGATCACTCAGTACAAACTAGGCACATTAGGGTGTACAGTAAACAGTGGTAAGCAGTACACTACCAGCCCTTATGGTACAGTCACACAAATAACAATATAGTTTACATACTATGAAAAAAGAGTATAAATAAAAAAGTTTGGGATATTTAGATCATATAACAGGGGGACTGAACTTAATCTGGCAGATCAAGGAAGGCTTTCTGCTGGGAGACAATAGAAGTAAACTAGACAAGGGTGAGGGAAAGGTTTAGGCAGAGTGTGTGAGACAGCAAGTGTGTGAGAAATGGTCATTGGAGAATATAAAGGAAGGTGAGTATGGCTAGAGTATAGTAAGTGAGGGAGGAGGCTGGTATGAAATGAGCTCAGAAACATAGGTACATTTTACAGAACCTTATAAGCCTTGTTAAAAGTGTTTATCTCAAGAGCAGTGAGAAAGCACTGATTTCTGTTTTTTTCAGGTGAGCAGCATTTCAAATCTACATTTTTTTAAAGAGTCAACTCTTTTGAGATTTATTATGGAATAAACACACAGACAGATTTATAGAACAGTTAATTTGAAACTTAACCAGACCATTATTAATGGTGTCTGTCATATATCAGATCTACATTTTTATATCTCTTTGTATATATACAGATGTCTGCTGGTATGTCCATAGAGTATTTCTGGAAGTACATATCAGCAGTTAGTAAGAGTGCTTGTTTCTTGGGAGAGGAACCAGGGATCTAGTTTTGAAGGGAGGCTTGCTTTTAATAAGTGTGTACTATTTTATAGTATGAATTTTTAAAACTCAGATATTAGTGTGTCAATTATTAGTTTAGTGCCATTTATTTAATAAAAATAAGTAAAAAGATGTTTAAAGTTGAAAAAAATGTAGCAGTGGGTGAGCAAATGTGATGAGAACTATTAGAAGAACCAGGTGAAATGGTGAGGAGTGGATCTATTCGCCATATTTTTCTTTAGAAAGAAAACTGTATATAACTTGATGATAGATTGATAAAAATCTGTATGTAAGGTAAGAGAGGAGAGGAGTATTAAGGATGACTCCTGTGTTTATGGTTTGTGCTGCTGTATCAGTTAAGGTGTTATCTACTGAGAATGAGGAACACTAGGAAGAGGTCCAGGTATGGGAGGTAGGATGGGGGTCATGAATTGAGTTTAGGGGATGTTGAACTGGAAATACCTTTCAAATATCGAAGTATAGCTGTCAGGTAAACAATTGGATACATGAGTTTATTGCTCAGAGGAGAGATCTGGGCTAGTGATAAATTTTGAATGTGATAGCATATAATTGATAACTGAAACCTTGAGCTTGAATGAGTACCTCCTGGGAGAAGTCATAGAATAAAAGTGAGACCTGAGGAATACTAAAACGAGATGGTCCTTTCTTGAGGAACATCAGGAAATGGGATTATCCCCAGTTATGTGACTTACCCATTCATCAGTAAAGTCAAACTAAAACTGTATTAACATGGATTATTCAAGGTAGTATTGTTTCCATATAAGAAATAAATTTAATAAGGAAGAATATGTATTTTCATCAAAGAGGAAGAATATCCCAAAATAACTGATGATTTTCAAGTGAAATTTTTTTTGTGTGAGAAAAATAGTAATTTATGATTCTTGTTTTACAGCAAGTGAAGTCTTCTGTTGGGGACAGAATAAATATGGCCAGTTGGGTTTAGGCATTGACTGTAAAAAGCAAGCTTCACCACAACTGATTAAGTCTTTACTTGGAATCCCTTTCATGCAAGTTGCAGCAGGAGGAGCCCATAGTTTTGTACTCACCCTTTCTGGAGCTATCTTTGGATGGGGACGCAACAAATTTGGTCAACTAGGTCTTAATGATGAAAATGGTAGGTTTGCATTATTTATAAATATATTTTTAAAAAGAGATGATGTTTTGAGATATATCAGTGATTCTTAGTGTCAGAGAGAAGTGTACCCAAATCTTCCCTGGTGTTGAGGTGGGGATGAGAGGTTAATTTTAAAATTCCATTTGATAATAATATTTTTAGGAGATTGTGGGAAGGCCAAAAATATTATTTTATTCTAGAATAAAATATAGAAAGTATATCTGGACAAAAATCTTCAATGTTGGATGTTTACTAAAAGAAAGTTGAGAAAAACATTACTTCAAATTGGTAATCATATTATCAGCCACCATCAGTGGAAAAAAATTATCCTGAAAAGTAACATGAAGTGTTCATCTATTTGAGTATTTCAAGGAAATATTTAAATCTGAGTCATTTAATTAATCACTGTTAACAGTGATGCTAGAGTCTTGAAAATAAACTTTTTGAATTTTAAAAAATTATAACTGCTTAAAACAAGTTGGGATCTTGGAAACTTGATTTTTCATAGCTACATTAGGTTGAATGCCAGTATTTGAAATACAAAAACAATTTAATAAAGTTCAACATAATTATAATGACTTAGACAAAAGTGAGTTGTTGATCTAGTAACAACTGGTAATGATAAATAATACTCTCAGAAAGAATTTTAAAATATTTTGTTTTGCATGAGAAAAATATGTCAGATTAGGACATTATATCTCTTTTCTACTATAAAATAGCAGAAAGTATAATTTTCAGGCTTTTTAAAGTAGGATCCTATGAGCTTAATTATCATGAGGTGAATATAAAGAATGATGTGCATGTACTAGAAGCAGTCAGATAGCTTTGAAATTCCTTGATTGCGGAGTCCTGTGCAGATTGGCGTTTAGGCAGTTTAGTACTTAAGTTACTCTTTTTAGAGCTCTCCTTTATCACAGTAGCATGACTAGAAAGGCGTGGGAGCCCAACTTAGTAGGCTTGTACCACAAAATCACTGAATTGTTAAAATTGTTTAGTTATCACCGTCTTCCACAGTTCAGGAAGCTGTAGAGGAAACACATTTTAGAAGCTTTTAATTTTAAAAATACTGTTCGTTAATGTCTCTTGTTGGAATTTTCAGATAGGTATGTTCCTAATTTACTAAAGTCACTAAGAACTCAGAAAATAGTTTATATTTGTTGTGGAGAAGATCACACTGCTGCACTAACCAAGGTATTGTACTCCTATAAAACTTTTTTATTAATAGTTATGGTAGTTATTTCATAATTAGTGAATATTTTCATGGTATTTACTTTGAAACTTGAGTGTTATTGATGTCTAAAAAATAATTTATCTTAAAAAAGGGACTTAGGTTATTATCTGTTCTCAAAAACTTTACGTTAAATTTCAACTGTTTCATGTTATGAAATGTGAATTGTTATCTGCTGTTTGTGTGATGATAATATATATTGTTGAATTTTTCAACTTCATGTGAAATACTGCTTTAATAATACTGTGAATGAAAGAATTCCGTTTTAGTTTGTCAGGCTTGCTGTGCTTTGTGTATCAATCCCATTTATATTGCATAACTCTGACTAATTTTAATGTAGCTCCCATGTGCCTTATAACAAGTAATAGAGACTGAATCCCTCTATTATCCATAGGCCAGGTATTATTCAAGCAGTTATAATGGGCTTTCAGCACAATCTTGTTAATGGCTTTAACTCTGACCTCTCACTTTGTTGGGTATGTGCCAGTTCAGTATCAATACTGTATAGTTCTCTAGCAATTAGAAGTAAAATGAAAATAAAAACATTAAACTAACCTTTACCAGCAGTATTATTTATTATAGTCATGTTAACATAAAGGAACTGGCAAGTTATCATTGGCTAAATTAGAAATTAATGTTTTTGCTTCTTTATCTTTATATCCTGCATAGTAGATAAAATTGGCAAGAAAAAATTAACTTCTAATCAGATTTATAAAATTTCTACACACGTACTCCCACATTGGGAATTTTAGAAGAATTATTCTCAGTCCTTATCAAATATAGTGTACTAAAGTTACTTTAAAAAATATTATAATGACCAGTTACAAAAGTTAATTTTTAAAAATTTTATATTACTTGCTTTTGAGTAAGGAAGTTTTACTATCCCCTACTGATCTTATTACCATATTTCATTGATTTTTTTTGTCATTCAAATTGCAGATGTAATCACTGTCGGCAAGTTATAAATTTTAGTCATTCTCTTCTATCATTCGTATTTAGGAGAAATAAGGCTGTATTGAAGATAATAGTAAAAAATACTTTGTATAATATCTTTCCATAGGACTAACTTTGTGGTAGAAAGATTCACATGTTAATGCTTTTCAAATTCAGCCTTTCAGATAACCACTTATCTTATTTTCCCAAGATTTCTAAAGATTTCTCTTTATTGAGTTTTAAAAAAATACTAATTCTATTAATCTTCTGTATTTCTCTCTCAAAACAGTAGCTGGTGATACTTGTTCACTGGAATTCTTGGTATATATTATTTTTAACAAAATCAGATAGTTTTAAATATTTCAAAAGTAAAATATTTTATTGTTCCTTGTTTAAAGTTAGAATATAGTTCTGTATCAATGTCTTTTGCTTTTCTGGAAGAGCTTCTTGCAAATAGATTAGTATTGCTTTACAAAGCAGTTTCCTTGTGCAAAACAAACATTAGGAAAACTTTTAAAACAGATTTTAAAAATCAGAATAAATGGAAAGACATGCATGTTAATGGATATGAGGACACTACCATAATGATGTCAACTTTTTTCAAGTTCTTTTACAAATTCTTTATGCAAATCACATATGCATATACCTTTTGACTTATCAATCCCTTAGTAATTTTAAGAATCTGTTCCAAAGATACTAAGTTATGTATACACAAGGCCATTTATGGTGGCAGTATTTTAATAACAAAACAAGAGAAGAAATCCAGATTCCCATCAGTAGCAGTCTAATTCAGTAAACTATGGTAACTCCACTGCGTGGTACCATGCCCTGTAAAACAGAATGAGGAAGATCTCTATATTATGTTGTGGAACGATTGTCAGGATATATTATTGTTAAGGAAAAAGAAGAAGGTACATGTTATTTATATTTGAAAAGAATTAATAGGTAGACCAAATGAGCCTTGCCTTATAGGTTTGACTTTGGAACCTAGAAACTGTTACACATAATTAAAAAGCTTATATGTTAAAAGAATTCTTCAAAATTACAAGTGGCACAAATACAGAAAGAAGAATTCTTTTAGGGCATTTTAAAGTATAGTATTTTGTTGTGCATCACTGATGGGAAATAGCCTAAAGATAAACCAAAATCACAAAGAGGTGTTAAACTGCATTCTGTAGTCTTATTGTTAGTAGTAAAATTGGCAGCATTTATTTTCAGTATATTGTATGTAGAATAGGATAAAGCAATTAAGTATTTGTATTACTCTCATTAGAAACTATGATTTTCAGCTTAAGAGAAAAGAGATATAAAATGGTAGCATTTAAAACCCTGTAATCTTTGCTTTGAATCACAAGTATCAGTGTGAATTCTTATTTTTCTCCTTCTAAAATAACTTTGGTTTGGTTTTTGTTTGGTTTTTTGGTGTGTGGTTTGTTGTTGTTTTTTTTTTTTTTGCTATGACTACCAAAAGGTTCTAGAAATAACTAAACATTTGTAATCTGGAAGCAATGAACATCCTTTGATTGTTGTAGACTCTATACTAAAAAGAACCAGGGCTTCTTAGAGAAGAGCCTGATCTCATACCTGGGACCAAAAAAAAAAAGTATGAAAATAGCCTTGGGTATTTTGTGTCACAAAAACAAAGACTACTAAGATCACGTCACAAGGACAACTTGAAGGGGTTTTCAGTGGTTAACAAAAATAAATAATGTCTGCAATAAATGGAAAGATACCAAATATATAAAAATCTGTGACTTCATAATGATCGTCTTCTTACCCAAATCAACACAAAGCAAACTTCATTGCTTATCTTTGGAGGTTGCTAGGGCAACAACTTATTTTTCTAAAAATCTGTAAATGAGAAAGAAGCATTTCTCCTACCTCTTAATTGTAGATTGTATTTTATAATAGCTCAATAGTTGATGAGTTAACTTCTCTATAGAAGAATTTCGACTAATAAATTTAGAAGAAATAATAAGATTAGAAAAATCTCCATTTTATATTCCCTAATGAAATAATGGATCTAGGCAAAGCTTAATGGGTATAGATTAGGCTGAAACACACTGTCCCACTTACTTATTTTTAACTTTACCTATCAGACATATGCTTTCTGACATGGTGTAATAAAATACTAATCAAGAAAGTTTAAATATGACCTCTATATTAAATAATATTAAAGAAATATTAACGGGGTCCATTCCTCAAGAACATATAACAATTGTACCTATATATGTTCCTAGCACAGCAAATATTAACAAGTATTAACAGATCTGAAGGCAGAAATAGACAGCAACACAATAACAGTAGGGGACTTAAGTACCCCACTTTCAACAGAGACTGGATCATCCTGACAGAAAATCAGTAAGGAATATTTGACTTGAAGTACAGTTTATATCAAATGGACCTAACAAACATATACAGAACATTGTATCCAAGAGTAGCAGGAGATACATTCTTCTCAAGCAAACAGTGGAACATTCTGCAGGAGAGATCATGCTAGGTCAAAAACACGTCTTAACAAATATAAGACGATTGAAATAATATCATGTATGTTTTCCAACCATAGTAGTATGAAACTAGGAATCATTAACAGGAGGAAAGCCAGAAAATTCACAAATATGTGGAAATTAAAAAGTACACTTCTGGGCTTCCCTGGTGGCGCAGTGGTTGAAAGTCCGCCTGCCGATGCAGGGGACACGGGTTCGTGCTCCGGTCCAGGAAGATCCCACATGCTGCGAAGCGGCTGGGCCTGTGAGCCATGGCCGCTGAGCCTGCGCGTCCAGAGCCTGTGCTCCACAATGGGAGAGGCCCACGTACCGCAAAAAAAAAAAAAAAAAGTACACTTGTGAATAATCATTGGGTCATAGAAGAAATAAAAGGGAAATTTTAATATATCTTGAGAAATGAAAATGGGAACACGACAAAACTTATGGGAAGCAGCAAAAGCAGCTCTAATAGGGAAGTTTATAGCAATAAACACCTACATTAAGAAAAAAGATTGCAAATAAACAGCTTAATTTTATACCTCAAGGAACTAGGAAAAACAACATACTAAGTCCAAAGTTAGCAGAAGGAAGGGAATTACAAAGATCAGAGCAGAAATAAATGAAATAGAGATTAGAAAAACATCAGAGAAGAATAACACATCTAAGAGCTGTTTTTCTGAAAAGATTTTTTTTAATGGACAAATCTTTAGGTAGACTAAGAAGAAAAGACTCAAATAAAATCAGACCGGGAGGAGACATTACAGCTGATAATGCAGAAATACAAAGGTTCATAAGAGACTACTATCAATAATTATATACCAACAAATTTATCACATAACCTAGATGAAATGGATACATTCCAGAAGCATACTAACTGCCAAAACTGAATCATAAAGAAACAAAATCTGAATATGCCTCTGATGAGTAAGGAGATTGAATCAGTAGTCAAAAGTCTCCCAACAAAGAAAAGCGCAGGACTGGATGTCTTCAAAAATCTCCCAACAAAGAGAAGCTCATTCACTGGATGGTGAATTCTACTATTTAAAAAATAATTAACACCAGTCAGTCTCAAAATCCTCTGAAAAACAGAAGAGGAGGGAACACTTCCAAACTTATTTTATAAGGCCGGCACCATCCTGATACCAAAGACATAGAAAGACACTGCAAGGAGAGTAAATTACAAGCCAACATCCTTGATGAATGTAGATGCAGAACTACTCAATACTAGCAAACTAAATTCAACAGTACATTTAAATGATTATATAGCCAGTGATCAAGTGGGATTTATCCCTGGGATGCAAGGATGGTTCAGCATTTACAAATCAGTGTTATACACCACATTAACAGAATGAAGGATACAAATCATATTATCATCTTAGTAGATACAAGAAAAGCATTTGACAAAATTGAGCATCTTTTTATGATAAAAACCGTCAAAGTGAATATGGAGGGAACATGCCTCAAAATAATAAAGGCCATCTATGACAAACCCACCACTAACATAATACTTAATGGTGAAAATTTGAAAGCTTTTCCTTTAAGATCAGGAACAAGACAGGATGCCCACTCTCACCACTGCTGTTCAAGATAATACTGGGAGTCCTAGCCACAGCAGTTAGTCAAGAGAAAGAAATTAAAGGCATCCAAATTAGAAAGGAAAAACTAAAATTGTCTCTTTGCAGATGTCTTGATATTTTATATAGAAAACCCTAAAGACTCCTCAAAAAATCTGTTAGAACCAATAAATACAGTGAAGTTGTAGGATACAAATTAACATATAAAAATCAGTTGTGGGGGTGCTTCCCTGGTGGCTCAGTGGTTGAGAATCCGCCTGCCAATGCAGGGGACACAGGTTCGAGCCCTGGTCTGGGAAGATGCCATGTGCTGCAGAGCAACTAAGCCTGTGCACCACAACTACTGAGCCTGTGCGCTAGAGCCCATGAGCCACAACTACTGAGCCTACATACCGCAACTACTGAAGCCCACACACCTAGAGCCCGTGCTCCACAACAAGAGAAACCACTGCAGTGAGATGCCCACGCACCGCAATGAAGAGTAGCCCCCGCTTGCCTCAACTAGAGAAAGCCCGCACACAGCAATGAAGACCCAACACAGCCAAAAAAAAAAAAAATCAGTTGCAGGACTTCCTTTGTGGTCCATTGGCTAAGACTCCATGCTTCTAATGCAGGTGGCCCAGGTTCGATCCCTGGTCAGGGAACTAGATCCCACATGCTGCAACTAAGAAGTTTGCATTCCGCAACTAAAGATCCCACATGCTGCAACAAAGATCCCACAGATGACAGTGAAGATCCTGCGTGCCACAACTAAGGCCTGACGCAAACAAATAAGCAAGTAAATATTTTTTAAAGGATCAGTTGTGTTTTTATACACTGAAAACAAACTATCTGAAAAAGAAATGAAGCAGTAGTCCCATTTACAATAGTATCAAAAACGTAATGCTGGGCTTCCCTGGTGGCGCAGTGGTTGAGAGTCCGCCTGCCGATGCAGGGGACATGGGTTCGTGCCCCGGTCTGGGAAGATCCCACATGCCGTGGAGCAGCTGGGCCCGTGAGCCATGGCCGCTGAGCCTGCAGTCTGGAGCCTGTGCTCCTCAATGGGAGAGGCCACAACAGTGAGAGGCCCACGTACCGCAAAAAAAAACAAACAATAAAAAACCCCGTAATGCTTAGTAATAAAGGTGAGCCAAGCAGATGACCTGTACACTGAAAACTGTATGAGACATCAATGAAAGAAACTGAAGAAGACAGAAATAATTGGAAAGATATCTCATGTTCTTGGATTGGAAGAAGTAATATTGTTAAAATATCCATACTGCTCAAAGTGAGCTACAGATTCAATGCAATCCCTATCCAGATTCCAATGGCATTTTTCACAGAAATAGAACAATCTTAAAATTCATATAGAACCACAAAAGACTCAGAATAGCCAAAGCAGTCTTGAGAAAGAACAATGAAGTGAAGGCATAACAGTTTCTGATTTTAAACTATATTACAAAGCTGTAGTAATCAAAGCAGTATGATACTGGCATAAAAGCAGACACATATACCAGCCAAACAGAATAGATCGCCCAGAAATAAATGCAATTAATCATTGATACGGTGCCAAGAGCACACAGTGGAAAAGGATAGCCTCTTCAATAAATGATGCTGGGAAATATGGATATCCATATGCAAAAACTGGACTTCTAATTCACACCACTCACAAAATGTAGCTCAAATGGAGTAAAGACTTAAATGTAAGACCTGAAACTGTAAAACTTCTAGGAGAAAACATGGGAACGTTCCTTGACATTAGTCTTGGTAGGCATTTTTTGGATGTGACACCAAAAGCACACGGGTAACAAAAGCAAAAGTAAACTAAAAGCTTCTGCACAGCAAAGAAAACAGTCAACAAAATTAAAAGTCATCCTGTGGAATGAGAGAAAATATTTGTAAATCATATATCTGATTAGGGGTTAATACTTAAACTATATAAAGAATTCATGTAACTCATGGCTGAAAAACAATCTAATTTTAAAATGGGCAAAGGGCCAGAATAGACATTTTTCCAGAGTAGATATACAAATGACCAAAAGGTACATGAAAAGGGTTCTCAATGTCAATATCACAATCATCAGGAAAATACAGATCAAGACCACAATGAGATATCACCTCACATCTGTTAGGATTGCTATAATTTTTTTCAAGTATATGGAGGAAAGGGGAGCCCTGTATACTGCTGGTGGGAATATAAATTGGTGCGGCCATTAGGGAAAACAATATGAAGCTTCCTCAAAAACTTAAAAATAGAACTACTGTAGGACCCAGCAGTTCCACTTTTGGATGTATTTCTGAAGGAAATGAAAACAGGGTCTCAGAGAGGTAAATACATTCTCATGTTTTTTGAAGCATTATTCACAATAGCCAAGATACTTAACCTAAGTGTCCCTTGCCAAATGAGTGGATAAAGGAAATGTGACGTGTACATGTTTGTGTGCATATGTGCGCGCATGCGCGCGCGCACACACACACACACACGCACTGGAATATTATTCAGCCATAAAAAGGGGAAATCCTTTCATTTGTAACAACATATAGGAACCTCAAGGGCATTATGGTAAGTGAAATAAGCCAGGCAAAGACAAACACTAAATGGTATCACTTATATGTGGCATTGTTTAAAAAAAAAAAAAAAAGTGGGGTGGGGATAGAAAGTCAAATTCATAGAAACAGAGTAGAATGGTGGTTGCCAGGGTGTAGGGGGTGAGGGAAATGGGGATATGTGGTCAAAGGGTACAAACTTTCTGTTACAAGATTATTAAATTCTGAGGATCTAATGTACAGCATGGTGACTGTAATTAACGATACAGTATTCTATGCTTGAAATCTGCTAAGAGTAGATCTGAAGCTTTCTCACCCACACACAAGAAGGATTATATGAGGTTTGGATGTGTTAATTAACTTGACTGGTAATAATTTCACAGAGTATATGTATGTCAAGTCATGTTGTGCCCTTTAAATATATACAATTTTATGTCAAGTCAATGATATCAATAAAACTGGAAAAAACATAAGAAATAAAAATTAACACTTGCTATTTCTGTCCAAAAAAAGGAAATTAATACTTTTTGTGTGATAATAGTATTGTGTCATATATTTTTATCCGTTAGAGGTATATGCCATTGAAGATACATATGCATTTATATGTGAAATGATTTGTTGACCACAGTGTACTTTAAAGTACTCCAGTACTTTTTTTGCTTTAAAGTACCCCCATAAAAGGGAAGTGGGAGGGGCATCAATGAAACAGGATTATCTGAGTTTTGCCATTTGAAACTGAGTGATGTTATGTGATCATTCATATATAGATAAATATATATATGTATATATGTCTTTTGTGCATTTGTTTAAATTTCCCATGATAAAAAAATTTTAAACAGAAAAATCAATTTCCTTACATAGCAATCTGTATAAATACTTATATCCTGCTTTCATCATTTAGTAGCATAAATTTGTATACATAGCTGCAACTATGAAGAAAAGCAGTTGAATTGAAAAGTACTAACTGTGCTTGTGTTAAAATGTCATCATGAATTACTTTTTAAAAACATAACCGTTAATCCTGTTATGCATTTTTATGATAAATATTTTAAAGACCATTTATATTTTATGCTAAGACCATTTATGCTAAGAATAGCTATATTAGTACACTCTCTGGTTACATATACTCTTTTTTTGCAGAGCTACTTTGGAAACTGATACCATTTTTAGGTTTTGTGAAATTTTATAGGTGTGTACTTGTGATTCAACAAGACTATAATGATAGTAAAAGGCAGTGCAAAAAATAATCATTAGTATCTCTTTAATGATGACTTTATAATGATGAGAACATAGTTAAATACTTTTAAAGTATGTGAAAATAATAAGCCATATCAGCCTGGAACTCTTAGATTTAAGACATTTTACCTTGAAAAGTCAAGGTATCTTGACTATCTTATCATCTGTTAAATTGTGAAGACAATAGAAAATTTGACTCCATATTAAAGATTAACTTATTTTCCTGAAGGTTATTTTCTTTTATCAGGCTTTCTAATGACAAAGGGTTTTGTTTTTTTGTTTGTTTTTTTTTTTTTTAGGAAGGTGGAGTGTTTACTTTCGGAGCTGGAGGGTATGGTCAGTTGGGTCATAACTCTACCAGTCATGAAATAAACCCAAGGAAAGTGTTTGAACTTATGGGAAGCATTGTCACTCAGATTGCTTGTGGAAGGTAAGCAGTTTTAGAAAAGAATATTTTGATCTATAGCCCAATTATTTAGGATTTTTTTTTTTAACAGTCCAGGGGTCTTTTTTTTTTTTAATCTATTATGCCATGAATTAATAGGGAATGGCTTCTAGCAGCTTAGGCCCCTTTCCATTGGTTCTCACAAAGTGTGCTTCTCTGGTGGAACAGGCTGGCACTTCATTTGAACCTGAGTGCCTTTCTGTTTGGCTTCCTTTTTTTTTTTTTCTTTCTTTTTTTTTTAAATTGGAGTATAATTGTTTTACCATGTTGTTACTTTCTGCTGTACAACAAAGTGAATCAGCTATATGTATACATATATCCCTTCCCTCTTGGACCTCCCTCCCACCCCACCCCCCATCCCACCCATCTAGGTCATCACACACTGAGCTGAGCTCCCTGTGCTATACAGCAGGTTCCCACTAGCTATCTGTTTTGTACATGGTAGTGTATATATGTGAATCCTAATCTCCTAATTCATTCCACACTCCCTTTCCCCCACTGTGTCCACCCTCCCATTCTCTACATCTGTGTCTCTATTCCTACCCTGCAAATAGGATAATCTATACCATTTTTCTAGATTCCACATATATGTGTTAACATACGAATTTGTTTTTCTGACTTCACTCTGTATGACAGACTTTAGGTCCATCCATGTATCTACAAATGACCCAGTTTTGTTCCTTTTTATGGCTGAGTAATATTCCACTGTATATATGTACCACATCTTCTTTATCCATTTATCTGTCAGTGGACATTTAGGTTGCTTCCATGTCCTGGCTATCGTGAATAGTGCTGCAGTGAACATTGGGGTACATTTTTTTTTTTTCCTGATCATTTTTCTTCATATGTTTCAGGAAGCTATCAGGGTGCTGAATATGCTTCATATGTACATTAATTCTCTTGGCAAGAAGAATCTTGCCCTTAACTTGTTTGTTTACAACAGTGCCAATAGCATGCAGGGTAACATTGTAGACTCTTCCAGTTTTACCTTGGTAACATTTGTGGGGCATTTCTTTTTGAACAGTGTCATTTCCTTGATGTTTACAGTATCACATAGTTTCTTGTAGATTTGCATGTGTTGTGGCCAAAGGAGGAACTTCATGTTTTCTGAAATGCCTCGATAAGATATAGTGGTGCCTCTCCTCTTTCCCTTTGTGTTAGTCATTTTTGCAAGTTACTGTAATATGGTAGTTCCAACTGAAAGTGGAGATTTTTAAAATGAATTGTTCAGGAATCTAGTAATCTAAAACAAAAAAACATTATCTTCTACCTGCCTGATTTGCTGCTAAGGAATCATAGTAAGAGGAGAAACTTCTTTTATACTGATTATTTTACCTTTCTCTATTTGAAACAAATTTATCTGAGGCAAGATATTAATAATGTAAATGTAATACTGTATATAACATTAAGTAAATATAATTTATTGTATGTAACATCACACTTGAAGGGAAACTATAGATTGTCCTTTTTTCTTTTCCACCTTTTTTTTCTTTAAAGAATGAAGAAATTGACCAATTAATTACTTAAGACATAAGATTAGTTAGTGGTGAAAGTCGAATTGGACTATTGATCTCCTGATTCCCAGTTGTTGGGAGTAGATAGGAATCAGAGCTTTGTAACTGAGCTTCACCTTTGATGGATTAAATTTTGGTGGATTCCCCAGAGGCAAAATATCCTTTGCTTGACTAACTCAGTTTTGACCACTTAGCTTAGTTTTCCAGCTAGTATGTATCTTTATACAATATAGTTAAGTTTTCCAATATTAATTCAAGTACACAGAATTACACTGTAGGCAGCCTTTGGTGACTTTTTTTTTTTTTTTTTTAACATCATGCTGTATGATTATCCATATGTGTATAGCTATGGTTCTCCATCGTTAGGTCTTATTGCTGTGTTTTACTCAATTATATGCATATGTAATTATTTTCTCAGTCATGGGCACTTGGGTATTTCCAGTTTTTGGCAATTACAAATAATGTTGCTTTGAACATTTATTATGTAATATACATAAACTTTAATATTTCTAAAGTATATACCTAGAATGGAATTTCTGGGCCAGAGAGTATATTGAATTTGAGTCTTGCAGGTTAATGTCACCCTATTTACCAGAATGGTTATACCAGTTTACCTTCCCATCACTATTGTATGAGAATTCCTGTGTCCTTTTCACCATTTGGTATTGTTAGACTTTTAAATTTTTGCTAATCTCTTGGATATATAGTGGTAGTCAATCATGATTTTAATTTGCATTTCCATGATTTGATAGGGATTGCATTGAGTTGGTAGATCACTTTCAGAAGTATTGACATCTTAACAATTTTAAGTCTTTCAGGCCATGAATGTGGGATGTCTTTCCATTTATTTACTTTCTTTCAGTAATATTTTGTAGTTTTCATTGTATATCTTTTATCTATTTGCTTTCTCTATGCCTCACACTTTTTTTTGTCCCTGATTTTCTACGTTATTGCCTTCTTCTGTGTTTATTTTTTGCAGTGAAATGTTTTAGTTTCCTCTCATTTCCTTTTCTGTATATTCTATAGCTATCTTTTTGTGGTTACCATGGGGATTACATTTAATATCCTAAAGTTATTAACACTCTAACTCAAATTTATACTAGGTCAATTTCAATAATATACAAAACTTTGTTCCTGTATAGCTCTGTCCCCACCCCATTTCATTTATTGGTGTCACAAGATAACTTTTGTATACATTGTGTGTCAGAAAACATAAATTAATAATTTTATGCATTAGTCTCTTAAATTCTGTAGAAAACAAAATTTGGAGGAAAAAAAACACAAAATTACAATAATACTAGCTTTTATAATCACCCATATATTTACCTTTACTGAGATCTTTATTTTTTCATACAGCTTCAAGTTACTGTCTAGTGTCCTTTCATTTCAACCTGTAGGATTCCTTTTAGTATTTCTTAAAGGGCAGGTCTGGTGATAAACTCCCTGAGCTTTTATCTGTAAATGTCTTAATTTCTTTCTCACTTTTGAAGGACAGTTTTGTCAGATATCAAGATTCTTTGTTGACAGGTTTTTTTCTTTCAGCAGTTTGAATGTATAAGCCCACTGCCTTCTGACCTGCAAAGTTTCTGTTGAGAAGTCTACTGATAATCCTATTGAGGATCCCTTGTATGTGACAAGTCACTTCTCTCTTGCTTCATTCAGGTTTCTTTGTCTTTCGACAGTGTGATTGTAATGTGTCTCAGTATGGGTCTCTTTCAGTTCATCCTACTTGGAGTTTCTTGATGTTTATGTCCAAGTTTGGGTATTTTTTGGTTATTATTTCTTCAAATGATCTTTTTACCTTCTGGAACTTCCCATAGTGCCTATGTTCGTCCACTTGATGATGTCCCTTAGGTCCCTTAGGTTCTCTTTACTTTTGTTTAGTCTTTTTTCTTTCTTTTCCTGAGACTTAATAATTTCAGTTGTTTTATGTTCAAGTTCCTGTATTCTTTTTTCTTTCTGCTCAAATCTGCCTTTGAATCCCTCCAGTGAGTTTTTCATTTTAGTTAATGTATTTTTCGTCTCCAGAACTTCCTTTTGGTGTGTTTTTAGGTTTTCTATTTTTTTATTGATATTTCCATTTTCTTCATATATTGTTTTCTTGACTATTTCCATGTCTTCCTTTTGTTATTTGAGCATCTTTAAGAAAATTATTTTAGTTTTTGTCTGTTAAGGTTCATCATCTGGTTGTTCTCAGGGAACAACCCTGTTTTATTTTTTTAAAGTAGACTCTATTTTTTACAGCATTTTTAGGTTCACCAGAAAATTAAATGGCATATTTGTTTCAGTTGATGAACCTGCGGTTGACAAAAATAATCAATAAACAATCTGTAATAGGAAAAGAAAGGAGTTTTATTTGAGCCAAACTGAGGACAATAGCCTGGAAGACAGCTTCTCATATAACTCTGAGGAACTACTCCTCCAGAAAACCATGGTTTTCAGCACAGTTTTATATCTTGTCAGAAGAAAGAACATCAAACAAGTCAGGGATACATTCCTTCAGGGTTTCCCAAAAAACAGATCAGCATGTACAGAGCAAGTCCTTATGGCCTTGGCACCTGGGAAGAGAGTCTTACCATCTAAGGAGTGCCAGCATTGGCATCCCAGGAAGGGAGGGATTTAACCTTTATTTTTAACATGGATATTCTTTACTTCTGGTCATTGTGCCCTTCTCTTTAATAATTACAGCAGATATACTGTAATTTGATAGGCCACAAACAGACTGTTTTAGTTAGGATTAAAATCACATTAACTTATGTATAAGCCAGAATGACTTCCCCATACCTCAATATGTGAAAATTTCTTTCATCACTACATTGACAGGTCATTTCATCACTACATTGACAGGTCATTACAGGTGTACATAGTGTATGTTAGGGTTCATTCTGTGGGTTTGGACAAATGTATAATGATGTGCATCCACCATTATAGTATCATACAGGGTTATTTCAATGCCCTAAAAATCCTGTATGCTCCCCTTATTTATCCCCCCCACTTCCCTAACTCCTTGCAGTCACTGATTTTTACTCTCATAGTTTTGCCTTTTCCGGAATGAAATATAGTTGGAGTCACATAGTATGTAGCCTTCTCAGATTGTCTTCTTTCACTTAGTAATATGCATTTATGGTTCCTCCATGTTTTTTCATGGCTTGATTGCTGATTTCTTTTTAATGCTAACTAATATTCCAGTGTCTAGATGTACCAGTTTGTTTATCCATTCACCTACTGAAGGACATCTTGGTTGCTTTCAAGGTTTGGCAGTTATGAATAAAGCTATTACAAATATCTGTGTCAGGTTTTTGTGTACACACAGGTTTTTAACTCCTTTGGATGAATAATGAAGAGCACAATTGCCGAATCATATTGTAACAGTATGTTTAGTTTTGTAAAAAACCATAAAACTGCCTTCCAAAGGAGCTATATCATTTTTTCCTTTGAATGTGCCTTACTTTCCAATTTCTTTGTATTCTC